TTTAGAAGTTATAATTTTAGCGCCGCTAAATTAGTGATTTCGACCACTCTGCAGCGTACTGAACTAAGTCTAAAACAATGTGTGCTAATTTTTGATGAAATCGCTTTAAATTATGATATAACCCCATACATTTTTTTGTCGAGTTTGATGTAAATGACGCACCTAATACACAACGGTTGGCCGGTTGGCGATGAATTTCTTCACTTAAACCTTGTACAGAATTGTTGCTAAAGAATCAGTTTTTGGATGTAGTTTCAATGTAGTTCCTATCTATTTTTCGGTCTATTATATAGTTTTGACCGATTTCATACAAACTGTACACCAAATACCCAACGTTTTGGATTAAAAAAAATTTTGAATAGCAGCATCGCCCGATTTTCTGAAAATTAACCACATTTCTCAAATATCAAAAATATAAAAGAATCAAACCAATTAATTTGTTCTGAAAATTTTGCAGTTTCGATACTTCACTTGTGTCACTCTAATCGTTTTTGGTACAAATAATTGAAAAAAAACCTGTTATAAAATTAACTTCAAACCAAAAATTGATTGACACGGTAGCAGTAGACATCAATCTGGCCTAATCTTAAGAATATTAAATATTGTGATTGATTTAGAAGCATGTCATGCTCTAAATATGTCATATTTTATTATTTATTTAAGTTTTTATAATGCCTCAACTTAGACACATGCGAAAACAATTGCAGCATGACATTAAGAATAATTGTTAAATGTGGGCGTTTCAACTCCTAATGGCCTTGACAAACGAGTGAGATCAATTATACCAATTATCAAAATAATTTGGCAAACAAATATTTATTCGATACAGACATTGTTAAGTTATTAAAAAAATATAAATAACATAAGCATAACTTCGGAAATTGTTGACTTTATTCTTTGGTTTCTAATTTCATTTTTATAATAAATATTTAAAATGACCTGACGATTTATTAAATAAACAAATGATAGTATAAACAATAATGCCATGTACAGACGAGCGTTGTTCGCTCTCTCATTCGTTGTTCGACCCTTAATTATGAAGTAATTACTTAGTTCCCCATACAATTTTTTCTGAGCGAACACCGATTTTTGTACGTAGTTCAATTCGAATCACTCTCTGAATAACCAAGAAATTTGTCCCATCCCTCGTTTATTTGAAATTAGTTTAAGTTAAGTAGTTAGTGGAACAGTGCTTTATAAATGCTCTTTTTACACACCTGTTTCTAAGCAGACTACAGATCTCTGCAGAGGTCTCTGCAATACACTTTTAATCGGTATCCAATTGGTCTTTATATAGACATGTGGTCTCTCTGCAGACCTTTATAAATCCAATTTTAAGGGAAGTGTCTTTATAAATCCAATTGAAAATGCATGGGCTATAATGAAAAGCGTTTTAAGAAATGAAACATAAATAAATAGAGGAAAATTTAATGAATTATAGATTACCATAATTATCTTTCAAATAAATGTCGTTTGGTTCAATTTGGACCATTTTTTGGGAGTTAGATAGATTCGAAACTGAAATTTTAATATTTTAACATGGGTGGGAACCTTTAGTGGTTAGAGTAGTATGAGACCATTACAGCTTGGAAAACTAGGCTGGGAACTGAAATATTTAAAAAATTAAGCGGAGCCATAATAAAAAGCAAAAATCGATATTGTAAATTTGGTGAGAAGGAGTTTTTTTTCATAGAAATCTGTAATCTCAAATAGCTGCCACGTCGACGGCAAATCCGACTAAAACATACAATATAAAACCAGTAAGGAAAGTAGTAAAGTCGGACGGAGCCGACTATATAATACCCTTCACCACTTTGGGTATATTTAACAGATGGAATCCTCATTCGACAGACGTCGCATTTTTGAAGGACCATTAGCATGAAATTAAACAGGTCTTTCTGCAACCTATACATTTTGGTCAGATATAGAGTTGCTTCGTACAATAGGACAAAATTATGTAAATTAATTTAAAGCAAAATATCTAAATGTAAACCGGGGTCGACCATATGAAACCCTACACAACTACAACGGAACTCTAACTTTCTGCGGATTTATATTCCGAGCCTGTTCAATATTTCGAGATATTTGCCCCCTTTTGGTCGATCAGAGGTCAACAGCCCTTCTTTCTTATCCCAGCATATTTTCCGAATATTGTTTTCCCGAAGTGAACATTTACGGCTTAGCATGAACATTTTGTAATTTTACAACCAAAAGGTCTTGGTTGGTCACATCAGGCCTTCCAATTAGTTGCCCAACATGTGTTGTGATGTTCGGCTTATAACTGTGGCCTCTACAGCGACTAGAAAAACAGACAAAAATACATTTTTGGTCTGTTTCATGCCCTTCTTAAATTATAGCTGTCGTCGTTCACAATAACCGGAACTGCATGTAAAATTTCATGGAGATCAATGCGATATTTACGCCCCCTTGTGTGGTAATGGAAATACTAAACACTGTCAGATACGTAGATTCCCTCAAATATTTATGAATAACAATACATACTACAATATTATTGGTATCAATTTAAAGGTCAACCATTCCTCTAGTATATACCTGGGATCTATATCCTTCAGGAGTATCCTTCCTATCGCATATAAAGTGCTATCCAGCGTGCTGTGTGATCGTTATTGGACCATACCAATGCGGCTTCAGACATGGCAAATCCACCATTGACCAGTTTTTTCACTCTGCGCCAGATCCTGGAAAAAACCCAAGACAGCCCTATCCGTTCAGTTTAAAGCCATGTCTTTTTGGCATTACTGGTACAACTGGTACAATGTCAGCAATTAAACTAGGAAAAGAACCTCTCGGAGCCCTTTAGTGCCGAACGAGGATTCAGACAAGGTGACAGTTTGTCGTGTGACCTGTTCAACATCCTGCGTCGATGGTGAATATCGCCGTCGAATGAACCATGAGCTATATAATATATTCAATTTTATTAGGTTCGGGTCATAATTGTGGGTTCTAGAACGAAAAGTAATGTTTTTGATCCATTTCATACCATAAATATTAACCGATCATTACCAAACACAATAGGGGTCTTATTAGGCAAAATTACAGTCAAGGTCTACCTAGAGGTGTGGATTTTTTTTTTTTTTTGCAATTTCTATTTTTAAGTTTTGGTGGTACATGGTATTATGTCTTTGTGTATATGTTTGTAACAGGCAAAAGGACACGAGATGGCCGCATCTGTCCTTTTGAGAATGTGCATAAAATCCCTTTTCTGAGTCGATGAATGCATGTCCGCCCGTCTGTATATCTATCTGCCTGTCCATGTTAAATTTCAAAAACAGAACAGGCCGCATTTATGATTCGAATTGGAAGAAATTTGGCACATGTCACTTATGTACTGTGTGTAATGATGTGCGCGGTTAAGATATAGATTAGTCTTGGGCAATCTCGTTTAGTTCAGTGATCGAACGAACTAGATCATTTTTTTTAAAGTGAACTAGGTCGTTCACATCGTTCAGTTGCATATATCGTTTCAATTAAGTTCAACCAACCGTAAAGAAGGATTACCTTTCAAAATCATTCGAATTCTCCACTTTGTTAATGGGTGGTTAATCCAGGGTTTCCAGCTCGACTTTTGTCTATGGGGGTGATTTGCTTTTAAATGTCGCTTCATATTTTTTTACTGACCAGCCATACGTAAAAAATTGTTCTTATTTGACGTCGTTTAGGTCGTTCAGTGACCGACGGCGTTCATTGAGCAAAGTCGTTCAATGAGCAACGTCGTTCAGAGACCGACTAAGTTTGGTAAACAAAATAGTTCAGTGAACGACAATAATAAAAACTGAACTATGTCGTTCACTCGTTCAGTGGACTGACTAGTTCAATTGAACTAGGTCGTTCACGAACGACACAAGACTAATATAAATATAGTTCCCATACATATTCATGTCCGATTTTAGGTAATTGGTGCCCTAAAATCCTATTATTTGTCCGAAATTTCCCATTCAATTTTGAATTGAGTCCAGAGTGTTGTGTTGAAATCGGTTCAGATTAAAATTGTGCACGACAGAGCTATGTTTGTTCGATTTGTATGAATTTTTTCACAGCGAATTCAATTGAGTGTAGATTGAGGAAGATTTTATTCTCATATTTCTTTTCTTCCGCATATTGCATATTGAATTGAGTCAAGAATGTCCGATTTCATTTTTTATTATTTTTATATTTATATTTTTAAATTTATAGGTTTTATATTTTTTAATTTGAAGAATAGAATTTTTTAATGTTTTCAAAAATTTTTTCGAAGAACTATTATATTCGGCATCAACTGCGACATAAATACAAGTTATCAACATAAGACTTTTGTAAAGCCAAATTGCCCAATATTTCTGATGAGCAAATTGACAAAATACCAAATTCAGTGATAAATAGTGTTCGAAAGAAAAAAATCAATCATAAAATAAAATGTCAACCCGTAATCTATTCGGTTACCAGTTTATAGAGGTCTAACATAAATCAATATATCGCATATTGACAGATTTCACTACATGTAAAAGATCTATATAAATTCCTTCACACCTAAATCGCGTTGTCTAGTGTAATTAATCTGCTAAACTCGTTATAATTTCTCATGACATAGCAATGTATTCCAGACAAAAATCAATCAGTTCAATTGCGAAAAGAAGTTTAATGACAGGTTAATAACCAACAACAATAACATCAATTTTGTCGCTTGCTGCTGAAGAGGCAAAAAACTTTATTTTGAATGAATTTTGTCATTTCATCTTGTTGTTTGTTTTCTATTTCGTTCCTTTTTTCAGATTGTAAAAAATTAAAAAAAAAACTCTAAAACCATAGCAAATGGTGTTGTTGACAGTAAGAACGACATAACAAGAGCGAAACGAATTGCCCAGACATGAGCTGCTGACACTCTTCACCCATATGTATGCACGTAAGTTAGAAATAGGTATACTGCCTAAGGTCTTGATCATTGTTGTGACCAAAATTCTTTCCCTAATGCTGCTGCCGCCACTTCAGCTTAGAATATTTTTTAGAGTATATAAAGCTCTTGTCGAACTTGTAATCGATATCAGTTCATTAAGCTCCATTGCAAAGAACAGTCTTCTAACTACAACAAAATGAAAGTAAGTTCTTGTTGTCGTTGTGTTGATTTTATTTTTCATTAATTGCCGAACGTTGAACAACATTTTAATTGACTTTTGTTCTATTTTTTCTTGTTTTTGTTTTTTCTTCTATTATCCCTAAAAAATAAAGTTCCTCTTGTGCTTGGCTTTGTTCGTGGCTGCCGCTTCCGCCGGTGTTGTTGCTCCCATTACCACAACTTACAGTGCTGCTGCTGTACCAGCTGTTGCCACCTATGCTGCCGCTCCAGCTGCCTATACAACATATGCCGCCGCTGCCCCAGCCTATACCCATTCGGTATATAGTGCCATCCCTGCCTATACTTCTTCGGTTTACAGTGCTGCTCCAGCCTATACCACTTATGCTGCTGCCCCTGCTGTCTACTCCACCTTCTTGAAAAAGAAGTAAAGATGGTAGAAAATTCTTTGAGATTGGATGATTTGAATTGATGACAATGATTGTAAAGATTTTTAAATAACGAAAATAAAATTTAATTCAGATTAAAAATGTTTTTTATCTATACTAATAAAAGAGTAAAGTGATTGAATGACAGGTTTAAGCTAGAATCTTGAAATTTGGGGTGAGGGTCACTCTTGATCCATAGTTGTCACATAAGGCTGGGGTTTTGGAAATTCATACTAGTACGGCACGAAAAGTTCTAAAAGTGGTACCATTTGTATTTGGAGAACTGGTGCAGCTAGAACTCTGAAATTTTTGGATATTTGAACTACAAGTATTCGAATAGCACTAAAATGTACTAAATTTGTTACAATTTCGTAGTATGTGAACAGATAAATTTGGTACAATTTGAATTTTGGGTGAACCAATAGATCTAGAATCCTGAAAGTTGGATTCAGGATCATTGTTGAATGTAGGACCAAGATATTCAGGTAGTTTTAGAAATATATACTAATGAATACTAAATTTGGTACCATTTGGATTTGGGCGAACCGATAGAGCAATGCAGGAAATTTCGGAAATGCGTACTAAATTTGGAGCTGGAATTTGGAGGTTGGGTCACTGTTAAGGTGTAGGATTTGGATATGTAGGGAGTTTGGAAAAATTTATTAATGTGTACTAAATGGTACTAAATGTGGATTTGGGAGAACCGATAGAGCTGGAGTCTTCAAATTTGGAGTTAAGACCGTTGTTGGGGTGTAGGATTGGGCTATGTAGCCCAATTTGGATATTCGTACTAATGTGTACTTTATGGTACTTAAGGCAGATTTGGGCGATAAAGCTAAAATCCTGAAATCGGGAAATAAGATAGTTCTGAAAATACATACTTATGTGTACTAAATTTTGTACTATTTTAATTTTGGGTGAAACGGTATAGTTGAAAACCTGAAATTTTGTGTTCGGATCACTGTTAGGGTGTAGTATTGGGATATGTAGGGAGTTTTCGAAAACAATACTAATGTGCACCAAATGGTAACAAATAAAAATTTGGGTGAACCGATAGAGCTGAAATTTTAAAATTAGAACCATTGTGAGGAGTAATTTTGACTATGAACGAATACTAATGTGTTGTAAATGGTACTGACTTTGGTATAATTATATTTTTGTGAAGCTATGGAATCTTGAAATTGGGAAATATGATTTGTATTGGATTCATATTAAAGTGTACTAAATGGTACTAAATTTGGTAAAATTAAGTTTTCGGTAAGCCTATGTTCGAATCATGAAATTTGGAATAATATAGTTTCTTGTTTTAATATAGCTTCTATATAAAGATCCCTGTATTGTTGAGGTCCTAGCCCCTTAGGTTTCTCAAGGAATTAAAAATCTTATATGTAGGTACATAGCTCGCATGTAAGGATCCGTCCGAGTTTTGATATTGGGATGGTCCGATTCATATCGAATATAACTATCCAATCAGTGTTCTCGTTCAGGTTTTTCTCATTTTTTATTCATTTTCGATTTCTATGTCAATTTGGACTAAAATCCGCTTAGAAGTTCAGAGGGTAATAATTGGTCACAATTCATGTGTTTGTGTTTAATTATTTTGATGAATGGTATCAATTGAGCCAAGACCGACATTATAAGTTTTTTGTGATTATAGGGGCCTAGTGCATCATGAGTTCATCGAGAAGGGTCGTACGGTTAGTAAAGAAAATAAAGGGTACGTATTTTTGTACCATTAGAAAGCGGATCTAGAACATAACATTAATAGCATCGCAGGCACCACATACTGCAAAACTTGTCCTATTGATTTTTGTTTTGTTTACAAAACTGAAGAGTCCCGTGTTAAAACGATTGAGAAAATTGTGTCTGTACAGAAGTAGTTGATCCCAAAAACAAACCTCGAATGTTTTTTCAAGATTCGGAAAGAGGTGGTCTATTCTAGCTACCACACAAGTGATTCATATGGGTGTATCAGGTGGCTTATATTAGAATACATGTATTGTTCAATTTGAGATCGGAAATAGATCAGATTTAAATATAACCAAAAGGCACATGTATACTACGTAACAACCAAGTTTTGCCATTAGAAATTGTAGTAATTGCCTAATCTCTTTGATTTTTTGTTTGTTTATTTAAACATTATTAGAGCCCGATATTTCAACACGATAATGACTAATACAAATAAATCAAATCAGATAATATAATCATGCCTAGAAGTAGATTACATATTGTAGCAATGCGGGTTTCGGAATCACAATTATTTCACTGGTCAGCATGTGGCCCATTAGCTCAGTTGGTTAGAGCGTCGTGCTAATAACGCGAAGGTCGCGGGTTCGATCCCCTCATGGGCCAATTGATCATTTTTTTATTTTCTCTACCATAGATCAATTATTCCCTCCATCATAAGGTGGAGTGTATATCGAATTTATCATTCATGGAATATATGGATCCACTTTTTAGGGTAGCCTCATATAACGGTACCCCCAATATTTAGTATTTTCAAGTATTTGGACACTTTTAAAAAATAAATCGAATAAAAATTTAGTGCCTGTTAGTATCCATTATTAAAAAGTTCCATAACTACCAGTATTAAGTACGATTTTCTAAAACACCCCAATCTTATTTCAATTCTCAGAATTCCAGTTCTATCGGTTCACCTAAATTCAATTTGTATCGTATTTAGTATCATTTAGGACATATACGTACAAATTTCTATTACTACCTACATCAAGCAATCCAATGGACATTTTATTACCAATTTTTAAGATACAGAAAAAAGAAGAAAGAACAAGAAAAACGTGAGCGTGAGCAGGGGTCAGAATGAAGTCCGGAAATTTTACCAACGAGGAAAACGCCAAACCGAAGGTTTTGGTGCAGGCACAGCCTCCTGTAGAGGTGAAGAAAGTAACCTGGTGACAGACACAGACAGCGTGTTGAGGATCTGGAAGGAGCTTTTTTAAAGCTTCTGGTATCAAATAGTGGCAGTGAAGAAGATACTCCAGAACCAATAAGAGATGATGGTATAGAGTGTATACCACTTAGCCAAGATGAGGTCATAAAATTAATCGGCCCAAGAACAATAAAGAAAATAAAGGAGCCGTTGGGTTACCAGCCGAACTATTCAAGACTGGTGGTCAGATGCTGGTCAGGAGCATGCAGCAGCTGATTAGTACAATTTGGCTAGAGGAATACATGCCCAATGATTGGAACCTCAGCATTCTGTATCCTGTGCACAAAAAAGGAGACAAGGCGATATGTGCCAACTATAGAGGAATTAGCCTTCTTCCCATCGCATATAAAGCGCTATTCAGTGTGCTGTGTGAACGATTGAAGCCAATTGTCAATGACATCATTGAACCATACCAATGCGGCTTCAGACCTGACAAATCCACCATTGGCCAGATTTTCACTTTGCGCCAAATCCTGGAAAAGACCCACGAAAATCACATCGACACATACCACATATTCGTCGACTATAAAACAGCATTCGACAGCCCTATCCGTTCAGAGGAGTTTAAAGCCATGTCTAGGTTCGGCTATGCAGGATAACTTTAAGTGACACAAGGTCAGCAGTTAAAGTCGGAAAGGACCTACAGAGCCCTTCAATACGGAACTAGTATTCAGACAAGGTGACAGTTTGTCGTGTGATCTTTTTAACATCCTGCTGGAAAAGGTCATACGAGACGCAAAGAAATGACACTCTGTACACCAAACAACACATGTTACTCGCCTACGCCGATGACATCGATGTAATGGGTCGAACATTGCCAGCGGTAACAGCCACCTTTGAACAAATTGAGAAGGAGTCTGCCAAAGTGGGTCTGGCAGTTAGCGGCGAGAAGACCTATCTGATGGTATCAACGTGCAAGACGTCCAGTAGACTCGGACCAACTGTGGAACCTGAGAACTACAGCTTAGAGGTAATTAAAGATTTTATATACCTTGCTACCGCCATAAATAAAACGAATGACATCAGTTTTGAAATTCGGAGAAGGATTGTGATGGTCAACAGATGCTACTATCGAACCATAAGCTTTACAATTTATACGCTGACATCGACATAGTCAAACGTATTGAGCTGCAGCGATTACGGTGGCTAGGCCATGTTATGCGAATGAATGAGGATGCCCCAGCTCAAGCGATAAAAGCGAGCCTACTGATAGTTCCCGTAGAAGGGGAAGGTCGCGAATTAGATGGAAATACCAAGTAGAAAATTACATCTTGGAACGTGGTCTTTCAAATTTGAGGAGATGCGCAAAAGTCCGCTTGGAAATCTTTTTTAAGCTCGGCTTATGGAACATCCGTTCTGTAACAAGCCAGCTAAGTAAGTATATCGACCCTACTTCTCAACCTTGATTCACATTCCAAATTTCATGTTTTTAGCTCTATCCGTTTAGATGCTACCAAATTTAGCAAATTTAGTAATTTTTACTATTTTTCGCATACTTATAGTTCGAATGTCCAAAAAACTCTTTTGTACGTCTCCAACAACTCCAACACTCAATCAATGACCCTCAATCTAAATTTTAGAGTTCTAGCTAGACAAATACAAATGGTACCATATTCAGTATTTTTAGTGCTTTTTGTTCCCTTCTAGTATGAATTTCCAATAACCCAGCCTTATCTGTCACCTTTGGACCAAGAGTGACCCTCATCCAAAATTTTGAGTATATTTAACTGCAACACCCATTTGATTGTATTTTTTGGGAGAGAAACCATTTTAAAAATAATTGCCCTACTCCCTGATTTGTCAAAATAATTAACGAAACCCTCAAATGTCTAGATTTTGAACCTGAATTGGTCCTCCCTATGATTACTTAGTGCGTTCATATAATTTTGTTTTTTAGTCAAGTTTTGTACTGAAGTCAACATTAGTGTTATGTTTTGTTTTTGTTATATTTGATGTGTAATAAATTCCAAACATCATTATACAGTAATAATAAATCATATTTTTTTAAACCTATCAAACTATAAAAATAATATATATTTCTGTTAATTGTATT